AGCCAATTTGCAAAGCCTGGGGAATATGTCCGTCCTTTGAACCACCCAAAGGTGCAGAGTTCAGCATTCACCAGACGACAGCACAAGCCTCCATTTCGAGAAGTTATTACAATACTTTAGAAGATGCTGAGTGACAGCAGGCACATGCTCGTTCAGTTAACTCTTCAGTCACACAGGTAGACTCATACCAGGATCTACTCTTGAATTATGACTGCCCTAGCACTACAAGAACATCTAGGAGATCTCCTCCAAGATCCTTTTTGTCACACAAAGATTAATTGACATCTAGACTAAATGGATTTAGATTTGTAGAATATTGGGACATCTTTTCTGGATAAGAAAACTGTATAATTTAGCCTGTCACAGAGGGGAGAAAAAAAAAAGTCTTCCCAGGCAAAACTGAGCAAGATTAAATGCAATGGCATTAAGTAGCTAAAGAGTCAGGTGACCGTTCATTTAGCACAAAGTAAAGATCTTCAGGCTAAAATTAAGCAAAGAACCAAAAACCTGACAAGAACCTAACTCCCTACACATACATATTTGATTAATAGGAACTGAATTACTAATTTGGAAGCATAAATTGAATCTAATTGATTTTACTATAAGCTAGTAGAAAATATATGGATAACAAAATATTCAGATCATTACTCAAGACTGTTTCTTAAGGACAAACTGGTCAAAGGAAGGCAGACATCCCCCCCCAGTAATCTATAAAAAACAAAGTCAGAAAGTGTCATGAATGCACATGGAACAATGTTCTGAGTGATAAATGATTAAATTAGGTATTAAATTGTTTCTGCTACAGACTACTAAGTCATGTTAAAAGCATATCTTGCTTCTTAATCATTTACCTGCTTAATTATGTGACATGAGGAAAACACTCTTGGAAGATTCATCTAAAAAGCATATGCCAACAGTATATTTATATGTCCAAACTCACAACCTCATAACTGAGGTTAGCATTAGCCGCGGAGAAAAACCTACATTAAAATGAATATGTAATCAAAGGAAAAACAGGCATAATACAAAATATGAATCAGAAGCTAAGAATGACAGAATACTCAGAAGGTAAGCAAAAAGTTTTATTGACAATGGATATTTATCCATGTGAATAGCATGAAGGATTTTTTTTTAATAGTGTATTTCAGAGAAAGCAGGAAGTTCAGATAAATTTCTGTTCAACATTTGTAGAGGAAAAAAACCATATTTATATCACTAAATTCTAACAACAGCTAAGGAAAGCCTTAAACACAGGAACAGAAGTAAGGCGGTTTTTAAATCAGCAGCTCCAGATAGCTTGCATCCAAGAATTTTAAGAGCTGGCAAAGGAGACTTGTGTGCTGTTAATGTGGATTTTCCATAAGCTTTGAGAAATCTGAGGAAGCTCAGGGAAAAAAAAAAAAAATCTTAAAGAAAGCTGGGGGGGGGCCAATGCTGGGGGGGGGGGGGGAAAAAAGGAAA